CCTTGAAGATGGTCTTGAGGCTGTCGACTGCCTCCATCACCAGCACCCCATCCAGGCTCTTCAGGGCCTTCACCATGGAGGGCAACAGGGCCTGCACCTTGGCCATCTGTGGGGCAGAAGCCCTTGGGAGTGGGGAGTCCTATATGGACTAGTGAGGAGGAGCCCAGCCGGATTCACCAGGATGAGCAGGGTGGCCCCACTTCCACCACCAGGCCTTTGCCTGTGCACGGCCTCCTGCCTACAAGGCCCTCACTCAAGTTCTGGCTGCTGTCTGGGGCCCTCTCTGGCTCCCTGATTCCTGCCTGGCCTGGGTCCTTGAGGCCCTTTGGCATCTTATCCCCTTCACCAGCTCTGGAAGGATGATAGCCCACATTGTGAACTGGCTTTCTGAGTTTATGTCCTGTCCCTTCATCCTGGCCACATCGTGAGCCAAAACAATGCCTGGCAGAAAAAAACAAAGCACATTTATAAATGCTAACGGTACACCAACTAATGCCCGGGGCCTCAGTTTCCTGATCTGTAAAATAAGAATAATTACTGCCACCATTGCTCCCCCGACACATCCATCTTTAGGGTCACTGGGAAAAATCTGGACTAGAAACTCTTCAAAAAAGGATAAAATATATCGGGACTGTGAAGGCAGATCTGTGTCATAGATGGGATCACGGAGGCTGGACAGAGATGGGCTCTGATTCTAACCACCAGTGTCCGAAAGACTGTGGTGGCCCAGCTTGGCCTCCCTCCAGTCGGAGGCCTCCCTGGGCAGGATTTCCTCCATCCCCCACTCACCTTCTCCGACCTGCGGACCAGAATCATCAGGCCCCGGATGGACAGCACCTTCATGACAGGGTCTTGGTGGCCCAGGCCTTCCACCATCCGACCCAGAGAGTATACCTCGGGGATCCGCCGCACCTTCTTCATCTGGAGGAGCTGTGGGAGCAGACAGGAATGACTCACCTGTCTCAGCCCAGGTCAAACACAGGCCAAGAACTTCCTTCCTACAGGAAGCCTTCCTTGTCCTTTGTGCCGTCCAGGCAGCGTGAACCTCCTGCCTCTGAGCCCCCCTTATAGGCCCTGGTGACAGATATCCTGCCCCCCCACCAAATGACAATGTCAGGTCACAAAAGGCAGGTGAGTGTGGCGGTACAGAGTGGACTTTACGGCGTTCACCACACCACAGCCTTCAAAAGGGAGGGACTTCTTACACAGCCTTGACGATATAGTGAAATAGCCAAGCACAAGCACAAATGGGCCGCTTGCACGAAGAAGCCAGAACACACAAACAGCGGCAGAAAGTAGAACAGACGTCCCTGAGGGCTGGGGGAGAAGGAGAGGCGGGGTCAGGGTCCATGGGAACAGGGCTTCGGGAGGTGAAATCGTTCTGGAGACGGGTTGCGCAGGGATAGGAATCTACTTAATGCCTCCAAACTCGACACTTAAGAGGGTAGAATGGCAAATCTTATGTTCTATATATTTTTATCATAATGAGGATAAATTAAAAAGAGACAGAGACAGAGAAGGTCCCAGAGCCCAAGAGTCTGGGTTGGAATCCTAGATCTGCCACTTGGGCCCTGGGAAAGGTGCTGAACTCTGTGCCTCAGGTCCCTTCTTTTTTTTATTTTTTTCCCCTCGGGTCTCTTCTTTACAGTGGGCCACCGTCTGGTCTGAGTCTCAGGGTTACTGTGAGGATGAAGTGAATCAGTAATCGTAAACCCTGGAAGAGAGCAAGTGCTCAAGAGTCTTCAGCAAACGCCACTACTGAGTCTCTCCCTCCCAGCTCTGTCACCTCCAACGTCTCCGGACTCCCGACTCCCCTCCACCACCCAGCCCCAGCACTTCCGGCAGCTGCTCAGCCTTCTTCCGGGAAGCCCTCCCTGACACCTCCTCCCTTCTCTGACCTGCTCTCTCATCACAGTCACTTTTTAGAACCCTCACAGGTTATAACTGGGGGGCACTTGGTCTTCTGCGGACACACGGAGAATTCCTTCTGGCCAGGGTAGAGTCAAATTCAAATGTGCACCTGTGGTGCCTGGCACACAGAGGGGCAGCAGAGGTTGCTGTTTGCCTGGCGGCCCTCGGAGGGTCTGGGGAGAACTGAACAGGAGGAAGCGGGGTGGAGAGAAGGGGGATCAGGGAGGGGGACCTATGCCTCATGTTCTGGGGAAAACATTGCTCCTGGAAAGGCTTTGTAAACTGCAGCCCTGTTGGCGCAGAAGTGACCTCGGACATGAGCTGAGCTCTGCCTTACACCTGCGGCCCTGTCATACCTCCACGAAGAAGGCGGTGGCAGTGATCTTGTGCTTCTTGTCACCGTGCTCCAGGAGAGGGATGAGAAGGTAGAGGAAGCGGCACCGGTCCTGGCAGGAGTATCGCACCATGGCCCTGGGGGTGAGGAGGTGCAGGCCCTCAGGTCCTCCGGCCCCAGGGGCCTGCTGGGTGGGACACCTGGGCCGCTTGGGTTCCTGTGAGCCCAGGCTTTCCACGTGGGTGGTTCTCAGAGGCCATCTAGTTTAACAGCTCCTTTTACAGATTGGGAAACTGAGGCTCAAGGTGGGAAAGTTACTTGCCTGAGGTTACCCAGCAAGCCAGTAAGAGGGACAAGCTGAGGACCTCGGCGACACAGGCCACACTGGGAGGAAGAGACAGGAAGAGAGGCAGTGAGGGCTGGTTCTCTGAGCACCAGGGAGCAACCAACCAGACTTTTGCCTCTCTGCTCCGTTCCATCCTCGCCATTGCCCTTCCAAACGACTGCTGCTGTTACCTCCATTTCACAGATGAGGAAACAGAAGCTGAGCATGGAGTACTCCAGATCACAGAGCTGGGAAATGGCAGAGCCAGAGCCCTGAACAAGGGATCCTCACAACAGCTGTCCCCCGGCATCAGCATCGGGACTCCTGGGGACTTGCTGGAAATGTCTCTCAGGGCCCTGGCCCTGACTCACTGAGGCAGAAACTCAGGGCAGGGGCAGCAGGCCTTCTAGACTGCCTTGGGGCATGAGGATCAGTCACACTGCTCCACGAGGCAGAGTCCAGGGAGGTGGCTGTCATGCACCGAAACCCTGACCCTAGCACCAGCTGTGTGACGTGGGGTGGTCACTTCTTAACTCCTTGGGGCTCAGCTTTCTTGACCATAACCCTGGGCTGTTCCATTTCATGGTGAGGACGAGAAGAGACCTTGCGCATAACACCCCTTCGCGTGGTGTCTACAGTGTGGTTAGCACTCAGTAAACATGGCTGACTCTGAGACACCCAGGGAGGGTGCAGGAGTCGCAGGATTGAAACCAAGGGACCCCTTTCTGATCCAGGGAGGCTGTGAGGGGCTGCAGGGAGAGCTCTGGTCTGGTCCAGCTGGTACTCAAGATCGAACTCAGGATCTTGTACTTGCAAGGCAGGCGGTGGCACCACTGAGCTAAATCCCCAGCCCTGGTCCAGCTGGGCTTTTCCAGCTCTGCCACTTCCTGGCTGTGTGACCTTTCATGCATTGTGACCCCTCTCTGGACCTTGGCTGCTCTGGTGCAAAATGTGTATTAATCCCCGCTCCAGTCACCATCCGGCAACAAAAGCAAGCCTGCACCCCGCTCTTGGCGTATGCCAGGGGCATAAATATTTTAATTCCTACCCGCCCCTCGGAAGGTGGATGCAGACTTTTCATACTTCTGAGGGGGAGTGGAGGGTCAGGGGAAGTAACTTTGCCTCGGTGATAAGCTAGGAAGTGGTTGGGATTGGGGGGCAGACAGACGTCCCCAGGGCCATCCTCCTGGTTATTGGTTGCACCTCGGTGTTTCTCTTAGAGTGGGAACGGGATTCATACCATAGTTCAGGAAAAAGAGGCACTTTGTAAATAACCTAAAGGCTCTGCAGCTGTGGAGAGCCTTGATAACCTCAGTTCCCCTCCCTGGGGAGGAGACTTTGCTCCCTCTGTGCTGCCCAGCCGCCTGCAAGGACTGCAGTGCCACCCAGCTGCAGAGAAGAGGTGACAGAGGGAGCGAGGGGCTCCTCCATCCAGGCGTCCCAGGCCTCACCTTGCCAGCAGTGACACTCCGAGGTGGTGGCTCTCTGCCTGCTCCAGGAGCTCCCAGCCGCCCTCAGCCTCCACGAATGCAGCCTCGTAAGAGCAGCCTATCTTCAGCAGCAGGGTCTTCACCGCCTTCACCACCCAGCTGCGGGAAGAGACTGAGACCCCTGAGCCCCAGCTCTGGCGCCACCCCACAGGCTTCTCCCCACCTCGCTAGTCCTCATATGGAGTTCTGCCTAAGCCTGGCTCTTTGTAAATAATTCGCTTTGAGAAGAAGAGAGGAAACAGAAGTGAAACTCCTCTCCCTGTCCTGGGAAGATGGGGCTTTTCCCCTCTTCCCCTAAGCACTGTTCCTGGAGGAAGAGGCCGAGCTGGCCTCCCAGACTCCACTCCCCAGCAAGCCCAGGGCCGAGCCAGGACAGTGCCCTCTGCTCACTCCTGTCCAGCCCAAGTCCTTTCCTGCCTCAGGCCCCTGAAGGAGTGACTCCCAAACTGGATGCCAGGAGAAGGTAGGAAACCTTCACACCCCGGGGACCAGCCCGGCTGGGGCTGGGCCTCTGTGCTTCTTAAACTCCTGAGTGAGCCCCCAGGGAGCAGGGAGGGGCTGCCATCTACTGACACTCTCCTGTATTGTCCTCCATACACAGGCACTCATGGTTTAAAGACAGTATACGACGGGGATCTGACCTGAGAAACCCAGGGTCACTCAGTGTGTACTCACACAAACCTAGCTGGTTTAGACTCCTATACATCTGAACTCCATTGTAATCCTAGAGGACGATGGCCATACATATTGCTGGACATCAACCAAAAGTCATTATGAGGGCTGGGCCCCCCTGTAATCCCAGCACTCTGGGAGGCTGAGGCAGGAGAGTAAAAGATTTGAGCCCAGCATGGACAACTTTGTGACTTAGCAAGACTCTGTCTCGAAAAATAATGAAAAGAGTCAGGGACGTAGCTCAGTGTGAAAGCACTGACTTCGGTCCCCAGTACTGATTTTTAAAAAAATTATGGGGTACCTTGAAATGAAAAAACAGAAGACAAAGCAGAGACTAACAGTCTCAAAGCTTGACAGAGACTGATGGTCTCACGGCTGATGGTCTCAAGGCTTGCCCCTCCTACTAGACCCACGAAGGTCACTGTGCCCGAAAGATGAACTGCTGAATCAACAGCTGCCCATATGTCCCTATGTCTTAGAGATAAATTGTAAAAGCAACATCTCCCTGCACCTCCTTATCCCTGTGCTGAGTTCTGGTTCTGTAAAATTCTGCTTGCTTCCCTGCCTTGCCTGAAGAGCAAGATAAAAATGAAAACAAACTTAGAATCAGGGCTCAGACTCTGGAAGGCGACTTCCACTGAGCCTGGTAGCAAATAAACCTGCCTTTCCTTTCCATTCTCTGAGTGTTACTCTCTTCCTTGGTCTACCTGCCCTCTGAGTGCCTTAACAGCATGACTGCATATATAAACTTTTATTAAAATAAAAACTGACAAAAAGTAAAATAAAATAAGATAAAAACTGACAATGTACAGAATGAAATTTACATCGACAGTTTCCCCGAAGCCTAAACATTTGCCTGCAGAATCCAGGTGTCTCAGTTACTTTTCTCATTGCTGGGACAAAACACCTGATGCCCAAAGTTAAGGGAGGAGAGGTTTATTTGGCGCACAGTTTGTAGAGGTTTCAGTTCATAGTTGGCTGGCTCCAGGCAGAGGGGCAT